GTTTTAGTAGGTTTTTGACATAATAATTCTGATAAAAGTTTTTTCGACTTTTTCGTGGCTTTGAAAGTGGAATCTTCGACTTTCGTCCCATTTCAAAATTTACTCTTTATATATTTCAATGGTCACAACGAGTTCACTAACTACACTGAAGTAAATTTATGCAAAGATTAAATTTGTCACCGAAAAGATGTCGGAAGTAATAAATTATCCCATCGGTCCAAGAACGTTCGGTGGGTGTTATACCCCAATCCGAGAGAGACCGCAGCAAGAGACAGCAAATGGAACGAATAAAATAAAGCTTCAAACATGATCAGTTTTAAATCAAAATTATGAAGTTTTATAAATCGCGATTTTTTTCTTTTTTTTGAAATATCATAGTAAACACTTCAAAGAATGTCCATGACTTACTTTAATGTGAATTTTATAACTATGGTCGGCACAGTCGGACCTAATATTAGTGTGATTTCGAGCATATTTGCGATTTTATTAGAGCAAAACAGGTCATTTTTTCTCCAATTTTATAAGTTCCGGACACTAATAGCATATCAAAGATATTGTAAAAAAAAAAATTGGGTTCAGTTTCCAACTAGTTGTCTAGTATTTGTGAAACAAAATCTACTGTAAATTCACTGAAAACTAAACGGATAACATCACCTTAAACGCAATTTTATGTTAAATATTTTGCAGTTTAATTTTCTTTATCATGTTAGACACTCGTTTTTTACCAAATTTTCTTTTTTTGTTTATATATGGTTCAGCCATATAAACTTATTTGTTATTACTACTTATATTTTCTCACATTACAGTTTCAAATAATCTGTTAAATTGTATGAATTATTTGAACACCAACAATTTAAAAAGACGTAATGCAGAAAAACAATGATTTTAAAAGTCACACTAATTAGTGTCATTTATCTTTCCTGTGCGGATTTTATTTATTACCGTACAACAACTTTACGTATTACATTGCATCGCTTATTACATAAACCCAATATTGTTCAAACTGAAATATGTTTTGCGAAACTCGGCTCGTAGTACCAATGTTTCTTGTAATCCAGTTGATACGACCATAATTGTATGGTTTTGATGAGTACCGAATTGTACTTTGATATTGCTCGAAGGACCTTTGTTTTGTTGTGTGCGAAATAATAGACAGCGTTCGGTTTCGATGTTTAAATACAGGACGGTTACAGAAGTACTGAATTTACATTTGTATTTACAATATCAGGTAAAGATACCCAAAAGGGTCAGTAGCCGCTTCCGTAAATGGAACAAAATACATATTCACATTATAAAAAAATACAAAGTTAATGAAATTCGCGATTAGTTAGTATAATTGCCTAGATAAATACACCCCTACGAAATATTTTAACAATAATAAATTTAGTATACAGGGTGTTATTGAAAGGTACGTACAACAAAATTGACAGTTCTTCCAGAAGTCTAAGAAGCCTGAAAAACGTATTTTGTGTTATCAAAATTATAAAGGGAAAATTAACCACTATCCAACCTTTTTAGACGCTACTGAAGGATAAATAGGTAAAATTAATTTATTTTAGTAAATCCTAGTAACTGTGACAATAATAAAAAAATAAGAGACCCTTTTGTTTCTATAGAAACGAAAGATGACCTTTTTATCAGAGGCGTACAACGAATTTGGACATAAATTTTAATAATTTTTATCTCTAAAAGGAGAACACTTTTACCTGAACTTTTTTTTAATTTTAGCACTCATACTTCTAGATCAATTGCCGATTTTATTTTGTACGTACCTTTCAATAACACGCTGTATATGGACCTGAATTTTCGCAAAAGCCGTTGTTAGGCATTCCCTGAAGTCATTGTAGTTATCAGTTACTAATGTCATCTTCTTTGGGTTTTCAGGTAAAAATAAAAAATAAGCCAATCGAAAATGTAAAGGAAAATTTTGAAAGTATTGTGGCATTAGAGGAACAAAATTTTGTATAAATGGACGGAACAGCATTACGAACCTATTATTTGTGATTTGTCAGTGTAAAGTTACATACTTAGTTAGACAAACATTGTAGTGATTAGTATTTACTATTTAGTCACTGTAGTATTTAGGTTAATTTAATAATTTTTAGAATAGTAAATACGTAAGTGGTAGACAGATATATTCAGGAATATGGGGCATTCATTCCAAGAAAATTCTCAGCATTTTTGGTAACCGCAAAAGTAAAAAACGACTAATTACTTTGATCACCTTGATATTTTTCAAGAGTTATAGTTTTCGCTGAAAATGGACTCTCGTTTTAGGCAATTTATTTTTTATTTAAAAAATTCATACATTTTTTTTGAAAATGCAACATAGTGACTTAAACATTTTTATGTCACGAGCATGTATATGTATTTTTTTCTGAAAAATTTCACTTTCACAAATCCGGCCCTGTGCACTTTCACAATGGGTAATGATTAAGGGTGCTGTAAACTGCCCACAAACTTAAACACGGAACCGGTTCATAAAATTCATATATTTTTTACACAACTTTATTAAAAAATCAGAACGTTTTGGTGGTGAACCAAAATTCAAAATATTAAAAAAAGGCAACAGAAGCCTGAGAAAATACCATACAGCGCCGATGTTTTTGTTATAAATTAATAGTAAGCATACATAGACAACGCCGTCATGTATTTTATTTTAAATTTTAAATTAGAAATAGACGTTAATTTTGTCGAAGGCATTGTGTCAACAGAAAGATGTAAAAGTATTTCAAAAGAATATTGTTTATAAATAACATAGTATTATTAATAAGTGAGCTACCATTCTGCATTTAAGTTGATGCTTATGCAATTTTTTATGTGGTGAAATATGTATTATTGTATACTTAAATTCTGAGTATTAAAAAATTCAGTTCTAAAATATATTAAGCTTTTTTAAAAAAACAGGAAAAGTTATCTAATTCTACAGTATTTCAAATAATTAGAAAGTACTTGAAGCATTTTCAGTACTTCAAGTATTTGTAAGTACTTGAAGTATACCTCCAGTACTTCAAGTACTCGTAAGTACTTGAAGTAATGTACTTGGCTTGTACTTCAAGTACATCTGAAAAGTACTTGATACTTGAAATACTCTTACTGAAAGTAAGTACTTGGTAGTTTACTTGAACACTATTTCAAGTAGTACTTTGTACTTGGTACTTCAAGTACTTTTTTAGAGTACTTTGAACAGCTCTGACTACACCTATTCAAACTGTTTTCTTACCTGTACTTTAACAACCTACACATATATTATTTTTAGGGATCATCACAAAAAATAAAATTCTCAAAGTTAAATTTTATAACTGTACTTTAGGGGCAAGGGAAGTTCAGTCGAAATAACCTTCGACCAATTTTTTTACATTTCATGATGCATATGAATTCTTATTTTCATACTTTTCATCAAATGTTTATCTAATGAATTAAATTTTTGAAATTAAAACAAAAATTAAAACCTGATTTCAATAGCTTACTTGACAAACTGAAAACTAAATTAATCAACATCGTCATCTAAAACAGAATAATATTATGTTATTATCAAACGTATGTTTTGTATTAGGGAGCAGTACGGCTCAGATAGCCCCTAGCGCGGCACAGCGATAGTGCTCATGAAGCAACGCTGTCCGCAGTCACTTTGTGGATGGGTGGCTAAGATCGCCATACCTATCTGAGCGGCTCGGTGCGTCTCCCCCCTCGACACCCAATGGGTAAAAGAGGGTAACAGATTATATATATATATATATATATATATATATATATATATATGTTTTGTATTAAATGAGTAAGTAATGAATCATAATTATAGTTAATAAATTACAATGATTATTTTCTTTTATATAATCTAAAATATTATATAGAAAGCTCTTTTTATATGTATAAAATGTTTGTGTCATTTGATAAAAGCCGGCATTAAAATGGCGTGAATGAAATGGTACTGTAACCGAAGATGCTGATATTAATATCTTCTAGCATGAAATGAATAGTGTCCCTAGATTTGGGAATGTTAATTGGCGCCCTCTGGTGGAGAATTGTCACACTACGACCTGAAGCTTCAGTAGCCGATATCGATTTCAGAATTCGGTTTCGGGAGTTCTTTACCACAGTTGCGGATTTTTTAGGCTTATAATAAATGGCATGATATGAAGGTTGACATTTTTCTTCAGGATGCCTCCTATCTCAGAAGGCCATCCATTGCAGCATTTTCTTAAAAATGCATTTAAAATGGTCTAAAAAGTTGTTCTATATAAAGACTGAGGTCCCTGAAATCAGATTTGTTAATTCATAATTTATTTAGTACTCGAAATTTCCTCCAAATTTTTTGAAAAACGAATCTGACGTCCATATAAGGCTTCTCCGATGTCAAATGTCAATACTTGAGTGAATACTTTCGCAGCGATGGTCAATGTGCTATCTCCACCTTCGGGCGAATCGAGTTGATTCTTACACCAATTATATTATGAGCTGTTACTCTTAAAATCACTTAAGTGATTATCATCGAACATAGTAACAACCGTCCCGATTAAACCAACTTTCAAGCAAAAAGGGCTGTAGGAGGCCACAGACACACACGGACAAACAAAGGCTTCAAAGTTGTGACACCCCTCTTCTTACCTTGGGAGTTAGATAAATAATACAAAGTGGTCTCTTCATTACTTAATTATCTTAATTTTGATTTTTCTTCTTACAAAGAAGTTAACCAAGTTTCTGTATTTATGCGATTTCTGTGTCTTAATTTTTTATTTTCTGTTAGACACAATAATTTCACAAACCTTTAATAAAAATACAACTTGTACAAACATTAATAACTAAGATATTACTTCTTTTTTTTAAACATTACAACGTACTATGTCTGTGTTTACAACCTTCCTTTACAAATTGACCTTGCTGCGTTATTGTTGATTTCTTTATTTACCGAATTAATAACTTATTGCTTATTACAAAAAATGTTACTTTGGTTGTAAAAAATTTCCCTATCTAATGTTTGTATTTTTTTTTTGTTGCAGAGGACTGGGGCACCAAAACTTTCTGCTGTGCAGAGCCGGGCTGCAACGGGGCCTTCATGAAGTCATCCAGTCTTCTCCTGTTGTTGGTGTTGACAACCGCGGTGATCCACTGAGAGTTGTCGTTCGTTCGCAACAACTAGATAAGCACATTCCTGAATGATATTCTAAATCGTTTTCTATAGTCTTCCTCGTTCATAAGAAAGTTTTTTTCCTCCATTTCGGGTTCATTATTATTATCACACACACTCACGCGCGCGAGCATTGAAATGTTAATTCGTGGCCTGGGATGCTGGGGGTGGCTTGGAGTTGGAGATGTATAGGGCTCTTGGAATAACACGTAATTTTCAATTAGTGTTTACTGTTGATGTTTTCGTAGATATGGAAATTAGCTCAATGGTTTTGTCTTAATGAAAGCGAAAATGCAAATTTTTCACATAAAAGTAGTTAATGGGAGAGAAGCTCTGGCGGCTTTTGTTCCATACATCCATTTGCATTACGTTAGGGAAAATAGGCTTGAAGATGATTGATTCTTAGAATACGAGAATGTTAGTTGATGTCAGCGTAATTAACGTTCCTGTTCACCAGTTCGGCCCTATACGTCTCCTTCTGCGAAGAAACGAAGCGTACAAGAATATCACACATCATTTTCCAACAGCATCGGGGCCAGTTCAGCACTTTTGAATTAATCCACTTTTCACTTTTTCCACGTAACGAAACTTTCACAAAAGAGAGGTTTACTGGAAAAACTGAAACTTACCACTATTATAAAATGAGATGTTTTACTATTACTCTAGAAATAATATCGTAATTTAGGAATTAGCAAAGTACACATTCGTTAATATTGATATTAAAAAATAATCATCAAATAAAAAATTTATAAACTAAGTAAGAAGTAAGTAAGCTTTATTAATTAATTACAATCTATATATATTCTAAATAAATCACAAATTCTAAGTATAAGACAAAAAGACCCTCGGAACCAGGATTCTTTCCCCAACAATTCCTCGAATAATTTTATGCAAAATAATTCCATAACGCCTTGAAATGTGGCGGCGGAAAATCTTTATTTATGCACTGGAAAAACATGCACACGCGAAAAACTTGTTGATTATTTTAATTAAGTCTTAATCATCGTTTTTCCCGGAGCGGGTGCTTGTGTAATAGCCGGCAAAGAGAAGCGAGAAAAAGCACAAATTTTCACACAGGAGCACCTCACTGTATATATAATTAATTGTAACCGTTTAGGAACCATTTGTAAGTGCTTTCGTACAAAAATTATGTCACATGGTCATTGGTGTAACACGCTGTAACGATTTGTGTAACGACAAGAAAATGTTATTATAAATAAATCATCATAAACCAAACGAGTTTCTCTCTCATCCCTTCCTCCAAAACCAAACGCACATTGTGCCACTACGTTAATATTACACACAGTTACTTTTATGATGTAACAGAACAACTACTAAACTAAGAGTTTTGCTACCATTTTATGATAAATGTTACTCAAAAAATTCGTAACACTTTCGATTCAAATTCAGCTGCACAGACTTTATTCATGTACCTAAAATAGGTGCAAATTTCAATATTTTCGTTTTTAAATGCGTAATTGTGTAATTATTTTATTTTCGTATCACATATTCCTTTTTTATTAGGGTAGTCAGAACTAGATTTATCTAAGAATAGAACAGATGCAAGTTGCTTTCAATGTAATAAGTAAGTATGTACGAAATCTAAAATAAACATAAAAATGCCAAATTTATAACATTACTAACTCATAGGTTATAACCCATAACAAAATTCCAATTGTATTATTATCTGTGAATTTAAAAGGCAAAGCTGAATGCAGAAAAAAAAATTGTATTTAAATATTGTTCTAAAAATTTTAATTTCCTACTAGCACTGAGTAATGTTTTTATTACGTGTCTGCCTTGTATTAGAAAATGACTGACATCAACAAAATAATGGTTGTGAGAAAAGTATAGTAGATTCTTTCGGAAAACTTTCAACCCGTGGGAAATTCTTGATCTAAAACATCAATGTTGATGAAAGTTAAAGTTTACTTTTGTAATTCCACTGGTAGATCTTATTGTAACGAGTTGACGCAAATTAATGTTCAACCTGTAGCATTCAAAAAGTCGTTTTCGCGTAAATCTCCGAAATCTTGCCTCAACAGCCTAATCCTGTTATGCATTTTGTCGCATTCGTAGTGTATACATTATAATTGCCGGCGAGACCACCGAGAACACTCTTCGCAAAAACATTCCGAATAAATCATCCCCCTGAGCTCGTTTTAATCCGAACTTTTCCCCCTTTATTCCGTTCGGGCCGGCATCAGGAGCTTTTCATTAAACGTTTGCCTTTGTGTTCATTCTCAGGATGAAAATTTCAATGGGACACGATGTTGTAATGCTGCTCTTCTAGTTTTAGAATCTGTACGCTTTGTTGTTATTTCAAAATCACAGAGCTTACGGATTCTCGAACTGGAGGGGTGTCACACGTCGGGGTTAATTATGGGTGGGGGGAAGAAAAGCGGCCGCCATAAAAAGGAAATTGGAAGCGATAAGGAATGGTCAATGAAACAACTTGGACTGTCACGAGGTCGAGTCGACACTTATTTTTTTTTCCGGTCTTGCTGGTGCCACTTGGTTTTAAAGTGTGAGTGCGGAACTAATTGGATGAGGGTTGTAATGGGTTGATTGATTCGGTTTAATTGGGCAAACATTACGGGGAGAGTTGCTAATGAGGGTTCGATTCATTTTCGAGAGGAGATGAGCATGAAACATGATGTGGTGTTTTTGGACAGGGCGGTTATTGATGGGGGGCGATAAAAAATTCCGGTTGGTAATATAACTACTGTTATTTATTGACAACTGATGCCATCACCGATCTTGTATTAAAAAATATAATCAATACTTTATTAATCTAGTTGTCAGCACCACATATTGCAGAATACTTTACTTTTTCTTTTCAAAAATATATTCCAGTTTTAATTGCAATTTTTTTTTTCACATCAAGATCGTTAATCGTCCATTACTACTCCTTCATCCTTTTGGAAAAATTACCCATTGAACTGAAAAAAGCTAAATAATCTGAGTTTTCCTGGAGCGAAAGAATTTTCTTTGAAAAGTGGTGATTGACAGACAACAACACACTCTGTTGAATTTCACGCCGTTATAGCTCAAGCTGATTTCGTTTGAAATAAAAATTTTGAATTGAGTGTTTTTATTTGGCACTAACTGCATTGAGTGGGCATCAGTGTTTTGGAAGAGAGGGTAAGTTTGTGATTGGAAACAAATGTTAGCATACTTTATACACAGGTATGGAATTCCTCCAGGAAATTCTCCATATATAATCACTTCACTAAGGCAAAAAAAAACGTGATAAAGTGCCTTTAGTCATTTCGTGTGAGTGATGAATAATGACTTCAGCTTTTAGACTGCTTTATCGAGCTAATTTTCGGAACAATGAATTTCCGTGGCAAAGTCTAAATACACGCAAAAAATCACTAGCGGGATTTGAAATGAACCATAGCGAGAAATTCATTTCATATTTCCAGGAGCTTCTGCCGGAAGCATTGCTGCGCCAGAACATTTCTCTCGACCAATAAATCATGGATTCACCGAAACCCTATCACCCCGCCCTCGCCCCACCAATTAATTGTTTATTTTTTGGCCGTAAATTGATTCCATCGTCCATGATGTATATTCAGCGCTTCACACTAATGACCACACAACTAGGTGCATTTATATAAGACACGTTAGTGTTAGTCTTTTTTAAACATTACAAGGCAAATTAACATGTTTGACTTTTTTTCGAAATAATCCAGTCTTTAAGCTACAACAAGCTCTATTTGTATTATGTTCATCTACACTTTTAAAAGTTATTATACTATCGATCATATTAGACCAGGAAAAAATGAAACGGGACACTATTATGTTAAACGACGAAGGAGTATTATCAAGCTGATAATACGACCATTATGGTTTCCTCCCCCTAAATTCTCAAATGGACCCGTCCAGACGGTTTTAGTCCACTGCGTTATTATATTGAGTGTATTCTTCTCAGAGAATTACACTCACGACGACAATATGCGTTAAATATTAGTCTTGCAAGGTCTTGGTTATTACTGATCTAACTCTAAAAAAATAATGAACTCATTTCAGCTATTATGTTACTAATTTGGTTACTCTCTTGGTTTTACCCAGCCATCTTACTGCTAACACTCTAACTAACGGGGTCACGACTGCAGTTCACATCATATTAACGCAAATTCATTAAAATTCAGTTCGCCAACGACAAACCAACAGTTCAACTCTCAGAGAGTAAATTAGAGTCAGGACTCATAATTCCCTAACAATGCCACATGCGGATTATTTAAACCCATAGATGTATGGTGCTCTCTCTATTTAGATTTATCTAAAAGTCTGCGCGGCATGCAGATCGATCACACAATCAATGAATAGGCAAATTTTAGTGGGCGCTTTGGGCATGGGTCAATTGCGCGCCACGGTCAGCAAAATTTCCATACAGTTTTAAGGATTAATACCAAAGGAGTTGTTGCTTGTTGTAATAGTTCACGTGAGTGTTAGTCACATTAAAATACGGAAGTACTCGAAGAAATAATTTAAATTTCACACAATTACAAGCGTATATTAATCATTGAATAGAAAGATAGAGCTGAAAATATTTTTATTGCTCTTAAATTTTCTACAATTGGTTCATCTTATAAAAAATAAAGCAACTGAGAAGTTTATGTATAAGAAACATTTTTTACAAAAGCAGTTTTCCTGATCTGTTCATCCTTGTTCTGCTAGACCTACTATAGACCACATGGAATTATAATGCTTCTTATCAGCTAGGACAACCGAATTTTTGTCGTTTTTTTATTTCTATTCACTTTTATTTCGTATTATAGTAATCATTCCATTACTTTGCACAAGACTGTATTACATCTAAATAATTAGATGTCTAGTTGATACTGGAATTGCACATCCAGGTACCACACTTGGTATGCAGTCGAATTTTTAATAGAATGTACAGTAACATTTTTCCAATTGTTGTTCTCTGACAATACACCATATGATCGAAAAAAAGTCGTCCAGTAGACCATGAGATTTATTTTTAAAATGACGACTGTAACTGTTTGAGACTTTATTTTGCAGTTGTTTAACCATAACCGTCAAATTGAATAAGGATCGCCGTGGTGCTGCCAACATAATTTTTACCATTAAATGTCAAAAGTCATTAGACGATATTTTTATTCAATTATATGTTTTTTGTATCCCTGTGTTATTTTAATTATAATTGCTGTTTTTAATTAATAAATTTGGACCATTGAATTTTTCACTTTGCTTGAAACATGCGCAAGAATCTCCTTTAAAATTATAAAGAGGTTAATTTCTGTAAGTAATACACCGCATTGACTACATTATCCAGCGATGCTATAATGAAAACTGTTATAGCCATTTTTATGAACACAAGAGGGGAAATAGAACATTAGGATTTATAATAGCTAAGAGGTTAAAGCAGCGCTAGTGGAATTTAAAACAATCTCAGACAACATGTACTTATGTTATAAATAAGAGGCAAGCAAGTTCTATACCAAATCAGATGAGGAACATGAAAAAATACTGAAGTACGATGTTAAGTTAGTCATAAGAGATGCTAATGTAAAGATAGGTAAACAAAGAAACATAATAAACACGAAGACACGAATGAAAATGGGCAAATAATGATAGATTTTTGTAATAGAGAAAATAATGATGATTTAAAGCACTCATTTTCACAAAACCGAAATACATAAGGTACCTGAAGAGTTTCGAATGGAACTTATACCAACCAAATCGATCATGTGTTAGTGCAAAATGTGAAAAGTTTATAACAAATGTGCAGAGTTACAGAGGACTAGATGATAGAAGAAAAAAGAACTGTAAATATAATCATTTAAAATTAACAAAGGAAGAAAATAGAAAAAGCTATAGAAAATAAAAAGCGAAAATAGTGAAAAATTTAAAACTGGAAGAAACATAAAAGTAATGGACAGCTGTGAGAGATAAAGTTCTACAAAGAGCACAATGCTTTAAAGAGAAAACAACTAAAACGGAAAACGAATGGTTCAAAAATGAATGCGAAAAAGAACTTGTAGATACATAGACATTAAGATAGAAAATGGTGAACGTATCCGAAACACATGGAGAATATAGTAAGAGAAACTGTTAATACCAAAGAAACTGATTCTCTGTTTTTTTTTTATTTCAAATAGGTCCACTAAATTTGTCATAGGTTTGATTTATCGTCTTTCGAACTCGTCTTTACCTGACGATACGAATTTATTTGCAATTTTATCGAATATAACCACAAATAA